TCTGAGGTTCCAATAGCAGCTTGACGCTTGATGGTTATGTTAATCTTCAGGAGGAGCAAGTTTATGCTGCAACATGATGCATGTCCTGAAGACTGAGATACTGAAATATGCAGTTAACTTTCTGGACAACATGGAGCATTTCAAATTTGCAACCACAACTTAACCACCACACCCATTTTCAGAGAAGCCAAGAATAATGTCAAACACACCATTTGAAGACTGGGAGCTTTCTACAAGAGCCCATTTTGCACACTTGTGATTGCTCACTCATGGAAATTGGTTGGTGCCATCGGGCTGCCAGAAGCTTCCCTATTCTTTGCAAGTATTTCCTGGGTTCCTTTTAGATGGAGGAAAGTCTGCTATTACCTGTGATGCCAAGGGCCATTCCTATATGCACTTAATAGGAAAAGCCATATTACCACAGCACTGCCTAGACGTTGCCTAATGGAAATTGCCTAATGGCAAAGCAAAGGAAGAAACCCCAGGGAAAGGCCATGTGAAGGAAGCAATCCCATTTCCACAGAGAATAAGGAAGTGGAAGTCCCCTTTGTTATGTGGCAGGCTGACATTCCTCCATTTCTTCATTCAGCTAATTAATTTTGGAATGCCCAATAGCTGAAGGTCTCCGGGTGATGAATAACAGCAGTAAATACAATAGAATACAATATAGAGTAAAACAACAATAAAATTAAAATTAAAACCAGTTTTTCATAACTAAACAGTTAAACCATCAGTACTGCTAGACCTGCTGAGAAACAGTTAGCAATCCCTCTGCCACTATGCTTTTTCAAGCAGGTGAATGCCTCAGCAAAGGGGGCAGTCTTCACCTGGTGCTAAAATGATAGTAAGTTGGTACCAGGCAGGCCTCTTTAGAGAGCTCATTCCTTACTTGGGGACCACAAAGAAGGCCCTCTTCCTCGTTGCAACCAGGGCTCCACTGTTTCCACTAGGAGTTTTTCTCCATCCACACACTGGCTACACCTGCGTTGCTTCACTGCTTTCAGCTCCAGGGTGTGCCCTGAAGCCGTACGGCCCCTGCTACAGGGAGGGTGCTCAGGGGTGACTGTGTCAACCGCCCAGGACAACCGTCCATTCCCGAGATCAGTCAAGAATTCAACTGAACCACCAGCCGTATCAGCCAGAAAATCCCCCAAGTCCTTCTGGAAACCACCTCCAGATCTTAAGTCATTCCCCCACCCTTGCAAAGGGGAAAAGTCACAGTTGATCTAAATTTCATCAGGCTGTGATCTGATTTAAAGCCCCCACCTTCAGAGCACTATGCCCTCTGGAAAAAAAAAAAAAAAATCCAGAGTGTGCCCTGTGACATGTGCCAGGCTGGTGACATGTTGCGAGAGTCCCATGGCTGTCAAGAAGTCCAGGACTTCCCCAGATAAGTTAGTCTCCACATTTTTTTTCTATTTATATCCTGCCTTTTTCCTACAAAGGGCTCAAGGCAGCTTACATCATTCTCCTCCTCCATCTTATCCTCACAACAACAACCCTGTGAGGTAGGTTGGGCTGAGAGTCTGTGACTGGCCCAAAGTCACCCAGTTGGCTCTATGGCTGAGCTGGGACTCGAACCCAGATCATCTGAGTCCCAGTCCCATGCCCTTAACCACTACACCACACTGGCTCCGAGACAACATCCCCCCAAGACCAACAGGCATTGCAACTGGGACCATCTCCGGTACAGAGTCCATTGAGCAATGGGGAGGGGGCACCAAGAGAATCCCTAACTGGTTCCAGTGGCCCAACACCAGCTGCAAACACTCCACACTAGTAGGCAGGTGGACAGGAAGGCTGGGAAGAAAGAGGTGGATTTCTGATAGACTATGGTAATGTCCCCTCCCCGGCCTTCCTTGATGCTGAACCAAATACACTGGTGGGCATAACTGGAAGAGACTAAGTCCTCACTTGCCCATCAGGTCCTGGTGATGCCGGCCAAATCAGCTGCCTCTTCCCCTGTGAAGTTATGGTTGAGGTAGGCTAGAAGCCTCGATGACTGGTTGTGTTTCATGCATTCATTATATTTGTGTCCCGCCCTTCCTCCAAGTTCAGGACTGCACACAAGCTTTCCTCTGTATCCCCTATGTGGACACTCAGAGGCAGAGTGGCAGGCCAAAGGTCACCCAGGGAGCTTATTGGCGGAGAAGTGATCTAAATCTGGGAACCCCCCTCCCAAGCACCATCCACAGCACTATCCCAGTTCTTCTGTTTATGACGTGGTTCTGTTTAAACAGCAAACACCAGCTCAGCCCTGCTGTTTTATGAGAGCAAAGAAGAAAATAAGCCAGAGACGTTGCAATGAAGTTTCTGAAACAAGCCTCTTGAATACTGTGCTTCATTGTATTGAGCTCCAAGAAACACATCTCATATTCATCTTTTTTTTTTAAACCGCTGGACTAATTAACTAGAATCCTTTCTTTCACCCGCGATATTTCTATAGGGGGAAGGATCATTAGTTTAAGAAAATCAAATAACTATGACGATCACAGGCTATGTCTGTGTCTCTTGAAAGGACTTAATGGAGACTAAACGTTGTAAAGTGCTTTATAGTCCAGAAATGGCAGGGCAAGAGAGGAAGAAATAGAAGACACAAAGAAAGCCATAAAAAGAGTGTTGCCCTAAGTATTGCTTACTCAGTTTTGTAAATATCCACTACTGTTAACCTGGACAAATACATCCCTCCCTCCCTCTCTTTTTCTCTCCCTTTCTCTCTCTCTCTCCTCTGCCAAGAAAGAGGAAGTAAAACTTTGAATCACAACTGTCAATATTTTCAAGTCTAACAGCTCAGTCCTAGGCATGTGCACTTCAAAGCAGGTCCCACTGTGTTTACTGGGACTCACTCCCAGGAAAGTTGGCCCAGGGCTGCTCTCATAAAGAAGCAGACATAAGGCACAGTAGGATGACCTAATGCATGAGGGTTGTTTGAGGTCCATGCCAGTCTGCATGGCTGAGTCTGGTATGCAACGAACGTGAGCACGGCATCTGCATGTTTGACGCTCCATGATGAACACAAGAATTTCCTACCAGTAAGGCAGGCTTTTCTGTGGGTTCCTGGTTATCCACCCTGGAAGTTGCCCTCTGAGCATAAGCAAGGGCTGTGACCTGTTCTTCAGTTGTTGCTCTCATTCTCATCTGGGACCGAAACCCCAAGTTAAAGCGGATAAAACTAGAGTTGACTGAAGAAGCACATTTATTGTCTGTTGAGAATAACCACAGGTGTCTTTTAATGTGGTCGTTCTGAATGTGGAAGTTTTGCACATGTATGCATTTCTAAAACGGTAAATACAAATTGTGTTAAACTGTGTATGTGTGTGTTTATGTGGGTCACTGTTCCATGCAGATAAAATGTTGCAGAAGAGGCTGGACTCAGTGGAAAGAGCATTTACTTCCCATGCAAATGATCCCAGGTTCAGTACCTGGCACTTCCACTCAAAACAGGGGTGCCCACCTGGGACCCTAACCCGCACCTCCAGGTTCCACAGAGGGCTGCACCCCTTTCCCACCACTGCCAATCGTTTGGTGATTCCCAACCCTTTGCATTTCCCCCCCACGTCAGTTCTAAAAGGGGAGCTGCCTCTCCAAAGGCTGTTTCTCCTAGCAAGTGCTTGAAACTTAAATCTGCTGACATTTTTGCCCTGCCCCTTTTCTCTTTGCCCACATTCAGTACTGGAATTTATACCCCAAGAGCTTATGGGAAACTGACTCAGGATTGAAAGAACCTTCACTCTCCAGGCTTAAAGGATAAGGGAGCATTTGAGTGAGAAAAGCCTGTGATCTCAAGCTCTGCTCGCCAGAAAATACCCATTTACGCAATTCTGTAGGCAGATGGCTGCCACCGTGTGATCGGAAAGCTGGACTAGATGGACCTTTGGCCTGGCCCAGCATGGCACTTTCATGTTTCTAGTGGTCTGACTGGGGATAAGCAGGGCCAGCCCGACCCTGCGGCACAGGTGGCTCTTACCTGGTGAGGGAAGCCAGCAATTAGAGGACAGCTACCTACATGGGTCTCACGACCCGCCCTGTGCCTGCTAAACTGGCCTGCTCCTTCAGGGGGCGCTGCGCCACTACGGGCGTCCAGAGGATTCCGCCACCAGCTTCTGGGGGGCAGGGGAATGGCGGGGTGTCTTCTCTACCACAGCCAGCAAGGGGCCATTCCTGGCTATAGGGAACGGGCTGTGTAGGAGCATCTGTTCTAGGTAAAACGGGGTCACGCTGGCCAGAAATGGAGAAGCAGGTAAGAAAACTTGATGACAGTTAGCAGGCTCCAGATCATCCTTTTATTATTCCAGAACAAAAGGAAGCCCCCAGACAACTTTCGGGATGGGCAGTTAGGAAAGTGGCGATATCGTTGGCCCGCTGTAACCTCCTCAGACGCAGCGGGGGAAGCGCGCGATTCAAAGCGTGCTCCCTTGAACCACCGCCGAGAAGCTTCCAGCGAGGAAGCGCCCACCCCGCAAAAGCCAGCCGAGCTGGGGAGCGAGGGAGAGGGGACGGAGGGCGACCCCGCGAAAGAGACCCTCGAGCGCAACCTGCTGCTCCAGGTGGGGCGCGCGGAGCGGCGCGCGCCACTCCCCGAGCAGAGGAGGCAGCCTCCGCAGGGGGGCCTCGAAGGGGCCGGCCGAGGCTTGTGCGAACTGGTTCCTCGCGGCTCGCCTGCTCCTTCCGGGCGGAATCCCGGGCTGCACGGTCGGGCAGAGCAGGCGGGGAGGCGGGCAGGGCCAGGGAAAGCTGCGGGGAGAGGGCTCGGCGGGCCGCGGCGGGCTCTTCGTGGGCGGGGCGGGGCGGCGAGGCGAGGCAGAGAATTCCGCCCCCGTGCAGAGGGCACTGGTGCGGCGCCCGCCGGCCTCTCCTCCAGGGGGCTCACCGCGGAAGGCGCCGCGCAGCAGGTGAGCGCGCCGGGCGAGACCCGGGGCGGGGCCGGGCGGGGCGGGGCGAGCGGGCGGGGCGGGGCGCCGGGGGCGGGGCGAGGCAGCCCCGCTCGACGGCCGCTCACTCTGCGAAGCGGCGCGCTCGGCCTCGCAGCGCCGGCCGGTTCGGGCTCTCCCGGGACTTCGCGGGCGCGGGCGGGTAAGCGCGGGCGGGCGGGCGCGGGCCGATCGCGGCCGGGCCGAGGCGGGGCGGGCGACGGCGCCGCCCGGCTGGCGGGGGAGTTCCCGTTTCGCGCGGCTCGCGGTGAATGAGGAAGCGGCGCGGCCGCGGCTCCGCGTCCCTCTGCGGGCGGGATGCACGCTCGCTCGCTCGCTCTCGCCCCCTCCCCACACGCCGCGTCCCGGCGCCGAGGGGGCGTGTGAGCAGGCCGGCGTCTCCGCGCTGGAGGCGCCCGCTCCGACGCCGAAGTTGCCGGAGTTCCACCCTCGGCCGGGCGAGCGGGCTCCCGCCTCTGCGCCGGGCTGGGTGACACGCTGGGGCGAGAGGAGTCCCCGCGGGCGCCGCCGCTCTCACTTCCCTCTTCGCCCTCGCGGGGAGCCCGGACTGGCCAGGGCGCCGCAGGGTTCACCGGGTCTTGCTGCCGACGGGCTTGCACAACTGCGGGCTCGACGAGGGCTGGTGTGCAACATCTGCCGGAGGACTGGCTTCGCTCGGACTTCCTCGTTAAGCGCCTCCATGTTTTCTTTGGGTGTTCCGCCAAATTCGTGATGACCGAATGGTTGTCCCAGTAAAGGGTGCGGGGCCGACTCGTTGCTGGATATTTGCTTTTCGTCGCTGCTCATGATATAGTCACGCGTGCGTCCGATGTACGTCTTTTTCATAAATGGCTTCTTAAATGAACATGCTGGGGAGGGCAGCGAAGCGGGCTACTGAAACACATTTGGGATGTGAAACTCGGGTCTCATCAGAAAGCGCGGTCACGCGCTGAGGGGGGCGGTGTCCTGTAAAATCCGAAATCTGTCCGCAGCAGTTTAGTATTTGTAGAAGAGGGGTACTTTGAATGACTGCAGAAAACATTCTGACCCCAAACTTCAGCTGGCACATGTGAAAAGTGTAAGGGCAGCAGCAGATGGCACCGGGACTAGTAAAAGCAGAAAGTATGTCTCTTTGTGTCCGCCTTTGCTGCACCAGCTGATTCTTGGTAGCTGTATCACCACTGTATTCCTTGGGTTTGTGCAGTCTGTTTTGTGATCTCTGTTTCAATGCCTCGGTTGTGATATCTTAGGATTACAACACCTCTCACTCCGTTTTCCCTTTCCTACAGCTGGAAACAGCATGTTGCCTAGCAGTAGGAAGTGGTCCCTTTCCCACTAGACCAGCTTGTGGTGTCGATACCTGTTTGTTTTCATTTGGGGTGGAGGAGTGTTTGCCTTCCCGAGCACTGTATGGCTGGATTTGCTCGCATTAGTCATCTCAAGCTATTCACTGCTTGTCAATACGTTTCTGTTTTCTGCTTGTGGGGGACACAGTGCTTTGGGTGGATAGTCCACTCTCTGGGCAAAGAGTTGGATCTGATGTCCCTTTGCAACCAGTACCAGTTGTAATTGGAATTGTTGTAATTCCAGTTGTGTTGTTAAGAACACAACACGCAAGAGAAGCACTCGTATTCATCACAGTGCATTGCTTGGAAATTTCTCTGAATGTTGCAAGTGGATAGAGCAGTGATGGTGTTAACACAAGTGTCAGACGAGCTTCAAAGTGTGTAATAACACCACTCCAGTATATGCTCTAATATGTAAGCCCTTCCTCCCATGAAGCCTGCCACTTGGATAGCCTTGCTGACGGCCGGTGGCTTACAGGGTGAACTAGCATATGTTATTCATTTTTTCCAGAGATGAGATTCCTTGCATTAAATCTGTGCATTGAGAAATGCACTGCCTTTTCCTGTCACGGTTGTTTCTAAATGAAATGACAGAATGATAGCAATGACTTATTTGAGGCTTGAGCCATAAAATAATTAGTTCCAGGAAGTGTAGCAAGCTCTGTCTGGGGAGGAGTTAACAATTTAGCTCATAAAGATCTGAGAATACTGTAGATTCATGCCATTTGGTGGTCCTTAAATCAAATTTAATGCAGATTGTGACAGTCCTGTCAATGGAAGGGTGAAGGGTGAAGGGGCATGTTAAATCATTTAAGGGGCCCTCCTGTGCAAGTTTAGCACAGAAAAAAGGCCTACAATTTCCAGCGTGCCCCAGCCAGTTACAAACAAAGAGAATGCACAAGAGCCAGTGTGATGTTGAGGCTAGAATTGGGCAACATACCACAGCACTGGCTGACCTTGGACCAACCCTCCTGCCTTGGTCTAGCCTACCTTACAGGGTTGCTGTGGGCAATGAGTATGCTTTGAGCACCTAGGCAGGGCATAAAAGCAGTAAATAAATGTCTCGCCAAGGCACGCATGCCCCTGACATATACAATGGGATGAATAATCAGTGCATATTTATTGCTGATGTTGAGCTTCCGCATAGCTTGAGGTGCCTGCTCCTGCCCAGTCTTGAAAGCTAAGCAGGGTCAGACCTGGTGGAAAGGTGGATGGGTGACGAGTCCTGCACTGAGCAGGCAGTTGGACCCAATGGCTTGCTAGGCGTCTTCCCACTGTGTGATGCTCACATTCTGTGATTTTGCATCAAGTTTACTTATTTAGGATAGTGAACAATAGAGTAGTGCTTGAAGTGTACAGCACTAGCCTTTTCTATTGCTTTCAGTGGCAGTAATGTAACTCATCAGAATGCAGTCCTGATGTTATTTATCAAACACTAAAATTTCCTTAATTAGGTCACTTATCTGGCAGCCTGAGCTTTTAAGCTTGCTTTAGCTTAGGGATGGCAGCTGAATGCTGCCTTTTACTTGATAAACTGTCCACCTAAATGTTCCCCATGCTCCAGTACATGCAAATAGTTCACGATATTGTACGAAACACCCAATATTATAGGCACTGTTTGTTTACTTAGAGAAAACATGTATATATTATGCTGCACTGGAATATCAGCACACCAAAGAAAAGTTTGTGTCACATCACACACACACAAATATAATGTTTATGGCAAGTATATGAAATGTTTCTTTTTAAATAAAAAGTTTATTTAGAAACTGAAATGTTGCAGTGCAGGTAACCATTCCCTAATGGGGGTGGCCCTACCAAAAGAGTAACTCCTTTGCAATGTAGTAGCTGAGGAAAACCTCAGGAGAAGGTCTTAAAGCAGGACAGATTGTTATGGAAAAAGCATTCCCTCAGGTTCCCAAGATATTTGGCCTTGAAAGATTAGAACACTTTGAATTGGGCTGAAGGAACAGGCAGGTAGTGGAGTTCTTACAAGACTGGCTGTGCCAGTCAAATTGTGCACCACTTGAAGTTTCCGTACTGCATCACAGAGACACAGAGAGGCTACATGAAGTATCATGCCAAGACTACCTGTTCAGAAATTGCTGCGGCTGGTAAATCAGCTGAAGCTGTTGGAAAGAGACTTCATGCCCTTAAGGCCACCCATATCTCTGCTGCTAAAACTGCATACAAGAGTTCCCTGTCCTGTATATTTGTTCTTTCAGGAGGAGGGCAACCCCTTGCAAAAAGGGGATCTTCCATGCCAGACATCATCTGCTTGTAGTACACCCACCTGGCCAAGATTCAGCTTTAGTTCACTGGGTCTCATACCCCACTTAATGCATCCAGGCATTGATTTGATTTGGCAAGCAGGAATAGAGCAAGGCAATGTGTGACTTTTAAATGTTTCTGCCTGGGAACATTTGTGGAGAGAAGGAAGCAATGCAGAAGCATGAAGGAGATATAATGACTGTGTGGTAGACATGGAACAAAGCAGGGAAAGATGGACTCCCCAGCCTGGGAACTCTAGCTATAGGGATATACAGATGCAAGAAAAGCGAAGCCTAGTTAGATGCCTTGGTAAGAGTGAAATTTTTTAGAACTGGCCTTAGTCTCATGCTGTCAAACCACAGGAGTTAGTATATTGATCAAAGTGTCCTCGGTTAATTGGGCAACAGATTTTTTTAAATAATACTTATTTTTATTAGAAGGATTTTGAAAACACGGTAGGTTCTCTCTTAGAAAGTGGCATTACTTTTTCCTTACACCACAGAAAATACTGCTTCTCTGGTAGGCTAAGCTGTGACAACATGAATATTTTTCCTGGGGGGAAAATCTGTGTTTACTTCAGCAGTATTGTTTTTATTTCTAAATACAAAAATCTGCACCATGTGCAGATTTAGGGTATATTCCTATGCAAGTTTAGGAAGAAGAAAGGCCTGCAATGCCCAGCTGTGGCATACCGAGAACTATAGGCCTTTCTTTTGTTTCGCTTGCATAGGATTGCACCTTTAAACAATTAGGATACAGCCCCGTGGTTTCTGCCCACGATGCCTTGCCTGACACAGAAATGCCTGCATGCTTCTATTGCCAGGAAGCCATAGGATTGCATCCTTCACTGACTAAAATGCTGGTGACAAATTGTGTTTATTTAGCTTGCAGTCCCGTGAGTATCAATGTGCGATTTCCTAATGACCTGCTTGAATTATTGAATTATCGGGGACAAAATTATATCCTGCACTAATGAGAAATCAAATGTTCTGAGTTATCTTACAAACATTTCCACGCTTAATGCTTCAGCAGCAGCAGCACCTTCCTGAAATGCAGTAGGCAGCAAAATGTCCTTTATCTGCTCAAGAATTAGCATACTTATGTATGCGTATAGCATTTCCTGTTCACTTCCTGCAAATGCCTGCTTATCAGAATGCCAGAAAAGGTTGTTTAAACTGTGCTTGGTGGAGTGTCAGGTAGCCAACATGGCAATGGCAAATTTCGAGGGGAAGCACGAGAAAGAGTGCCATTTTATGCATGTTCAAGCAAACAAACACAGCCCCACAATTCCCAGCATTCCCCAAGCACCCACACACTCTTAGATCACAATTCTGCAGCCATGCTAGTTTCACAGATCAAGATGCCATCACACAGAAAGCTCAGGAAGAAAGTAATCATTCTTTTGCTAGTTCTCTATCCTCTTTTTCTTGTAAATGCAAATACATTTCAAGACAGTAAAGTGGTACTGATAGGAAAGTAAGGCTTGCTTTGGCTTATGTAACAGTTAAGTTATATAGTTTATAGTGGTTGGGTGTGCAAGTCACAG